AGCGACTCCGCCCCGCTTAGGCCCTCCGGCTAAGGCGCTGGGTCGGAGCTGCACCAGGGGCTCCATCCCCCTCTGGCATTCTGGCCGGGGCCACACCACGCGGCTCGCTCCGGCCGGGGCACTGTGTCAGGGGCTGCATCAGTGGCTTGGCCCCGCTCCGGCCAAGGCGCTGGGTCGGGGCCGCACCATACGGCTCCCGGAAGCGGCATGGCCCCGCTCCAGCTCCTACATGCTCCAATGGGACTGCAGGGGCGGTGCCTATGGATGCAGCAGCGAGCAGAACCGCCTGGCTGCGCCTCCACGTAGGAGGCGGAGAAGGGACATGCCACTGCTTCTGGGAGCTGCTTGAGGTAAGCGCCCCTCGGAGCCTGCATCCCCCTGAGCCTCTACCCACGTCCCCAATCCCCTGCTCCAGCCCTGATCCCCCTCCCACTCTCCAAACCCCTCGATCCCAGCCCAGAGCACCCTCCGACATCCCAAACTCCTCATCCCCAGCCCCATCCCAGAGCTTGCACCCCAACCCCAATTTTGTGAGCATTCATGGCCTGCCACAAAATTTCTATTCTGCGATGTGGCCCTTGGGCCAAAAAGTTTGCCCAACCCTGATACAGAATGATGTTGTGTGTAATGACCTTACACATCCTGAGACTCAAATTACTGTTCTCTACAATTAAATATAGTGGGAATATTATTACTAGATAACTTATTAGAGAAAGAAAGCTGTATGTACTTTAACTGTAGCTCTCTGAAGGACATATCATATCCAGATAACGCTCTTACATCAGCTGACTTGTGTCACTGTCATTGTAAATACTTACACAGCACAGTAAGTTACAGCATTCCCTTCCTATCTGAAACCACCATTCAAATTTTAAGAGAATAATTGAGTCTGTACGCCCGCTCCAGCCGAGTTTACCTGAAAATCTATCTGCTGTAGTCTTTTCATTAGTGAAACAAGATAGGAATTACATTCTAAAAGGGGTTTGAATATTAGTATATAGCAATAAGAATACAACCTTTACAAAAATAGCATAGTTCTCTACCTTAATTTACTCCTTCTCCCATAGTAAGTCTTTCGTTCTTGAATATTTCAGCACTACCATGATATACTAACCGGACAAGATATTATATATCCCTTAAGAAATGAGTAATATGTAAGAGGAACTTCTCCCCTCCTCCTGAGCGTTCCAATAAAGAAAGTATCAAGTTGTTTTAGCAACAGAAGTATATCTTCCTATAAAGACACAGCTCAGGATAAAAAGGGAGAGGTTACTCACCAGTACAATAACTTGAGTCCTTCAAAATGTTCTGCCTCTGTGGATGCTTCACTGTAAGATATATGCATGTTCGTGTACTCTCAACTGGAGATTGTGAAAGGCCACAATCTCAGAGGTGTGCCTTGTGCTCCCACGTAAGGTCATATAGGGAGATGAGGACCCACCACCAATCCAATTCCTTCTTAACCACGAAGCCTGGAAGACTCCACAGCAGAAGAAAAGGTGAACAGGAGGTGGGGCATCCATAGGGGACAAAAGATCTCAAGTTACTGTACAGGTAAGTAACTGGTTCTTCAAATATATATATCTATGGATGCTTCACTGTAGCAGATTCCCAATCAGTCTCTCATCACTGGGCCCTAGTGGAGTCAGCTGTCACTCTGTGAGGGGGATGTACCCCAGCAGCTTCTCAGAAGGTCAAGATACAACCCAAAACCACTTCAGTAGTTGAGTGGAAACTAGCTGTCCCTTCATCCTTTTGGCAAAGGATACAGAGTCTGGGAGAAGCCTGAAGTCTTAGTTCTGCCAAGGTAGAAAGCCAAGGCACTTCTGACATCTAATGTATGGAGACTAATTTCCTCCCTCGGGGTATGGAACTTAGGATATAATAAATGGATCTCTTGGTTGATGTGAGATTCCAATGATACTTTATGGATGAATTGAAGATGGAGGCATAGCATGACCCTGTCATAGTAGGAAATAGCTTACTATGGTTCTGACATGAGTGCCCCAAGTTCTCCTAGCCATCACCTCAGCCAGAAGGATATCAGAAATGAAGCCTCAAGGGAGACGTGAGAAGGACCAGGTAGCCTTCGGCTCAAATGGGGAGCTGCTCAAGACACTGAGGACCAGATTAAGGTTCCATGGAGAAGCGTGGTTTCGGACAAGAGGGAATAACTTGTATAAATCCTTAGGGAATCTGGTGGTGGTTCGATAGGCAAAGAGTGAAACCCCTTCTATAGGTAAGTGGAAGGCCATAAAGGTGGCCAGGTGTACTCTAACTCAGCTCACTGAAAGACCTCATGTCTAAGTCCAATAGGCCATGTAGAATCCCTAGAGT